TTTCCATCTTAGAAAGGGACTTGATAATCTTCAGCAAAACACTGACAGAAACACAAATACACTAGTCCATGAAACATCCTTCCTGTTTCCCTGACAACACTCAGGGACCTCCATAAGCCGACTGCATAAAGCAGCAGAAGGAAACTCAGAAGAATAACGTCTGCTTTTCAGCGTAGTGTTACTACGACATTTGACAATAAACAAAAATCACAGAGATCTAAACCACAAGCAAGTGGCAATGGAGTACCAATTTGTCCCAGCAAGTCTGATCAGGAGAGGAGACAAGTCAGAGTTTAGCAGTGCTAACGTTTGACCCCTATTATGAACTGTAAACCCTTGAAAATTAAAAATAATATTAAACCTCCACCATAAATGTAAACATGCTAAAGCGTTATTTCGTTTTACTGTTACCTCCTACACTCATCACTACAGAATATATACAGCAGATGGGCCCTGCTCATTTTCTCATTCACTTTTTAGCCATATGGTTAAAATTAAATAGTTCTTTGCTTAAGTAATAGCCTACGGTGTTTATCACTCTTGATCAACAGGACCAGCAGCAGTAAGCCAAGACATGCTGACAGATGCTTGGCTTCTCACCCAGAAATCAAAAAATGTTTCGCCCTCTCCCTTTGCTCCTTCAGAGTCTCTTTAATTTGGTCTTCTTAAATAAAGACACTGTGAAAGACTTTTACAGCTCACCCTTTTCGTTCTTGAGCTGCCTTGACAACCAGAAAAAAATGCTGCGTGGTCGCTTCCACTACAGCACCAAACAGAAATTCATCCCAGCAGAGAATCCACAGTTCACTGTCCTCCAACAGCTTGAGCAAAATGCTACATCTAGTAATAATATTTGCCAAGGGTCTAAGGAACTGAAATTCTGTGCTGCATTTTTGACTTTTGCCTATTTTTACTACCTTTAAAGAGTAGTGAAAGACACATTTTCACTGTTTCTATGTGTGGAAGGGAGATTCGCAAGTGTAGGTCCACTGTTCTGATTCTTTTTGCAGGAAATGTAATACATTTTGATGAGAAGTTATAAATTCGCCTTTGGACATATTTTTTATATTTTTTTTGAAAGACACTTTTAGGACTGCCCTAAACAGTAAGTTGTATTCTCCGCTCTTCAATCCTTCTTCTTTTTTATCAGAAGAATACAGGTAGCATTTAACTTACTGAGCACCCTCTTTCCATAAATTCAGTCAATTTCTCATCCTTTTTCATTGAATCAATATCATTCACCGGGCTATAAATGTGTGGAAGAAGAGAATTCACAAATTGACACTAAGCAAGGAAAGTGGCTCTTCTTTCGAGCTTTTTGACCATTTATTACACAGGAATGTCCCCATATTGCATAATCCTATTGCTGAATTCTCTTTGGGGCTTGAATCACAGATCTTGTTTCTTATATTTAACAACCTCACCGAACTTTATAGTATTTCTTCTATTTTCCCATAAAAACAAGCCACATGCACTCATAACTCCATAAAACACTCTTCATATATGTCTTCTTGAACTCTGTTATACAAGACAATTCTTTCAGTATAAGTAAATCAAGAGTACACAACTTGGTGTTCATGCCTCTTTTCCGACATTAATTCAGCTTCTTCGGTGCTGTGAATGTGCCTAGGCTTCTTCATATGGATTAACACTTTTTTAAAAAGATTGAGATGGAAAGAAGAATAATTAGCAATAGCCTACCTGAAACAGTATGTGGATTTATAAGGGAAGAACTTTATCTTGCATCTTTCTGCAAATAGTTCCAGAGAAGAAAATTAGCACATTAGGTCTCTTTTGGAATCACAGGTTTTGGTACACATAGGAAAGATAAATATTTCCATTGCAATCATCTGATTGGGATGTCACAGACTTTCAAGTAAGAGTAACTCCAATATAGGAAAATGAAATTTTGCCTGATTTGCTAAGTGAAATGAGAACTGATAAACATGCCATTAAAAAAGTTTAGTATTTTGTGCTTTAAATATAGTTGCAGGTTACAAATTGAAGTTATAATTCTGCTCTATTAGAAAACATCTTTAAGAACCCTACAAATAGAAGGACTCTGCCAAACAGCTGAGACTGAAGCTTTCTTCATATTCATGACTAAGAGAATTCTTATTCTACCTGCAGTGCTAGGGCAGAATAACAGCAGTAAGGCAAAAGAACATGAAAAACAGAAGCAACATAGCTGAACACACTTTAGGAAAATTTTCCTCCATTCTTCTTCTGTTTCCTGCCACACATTTTCCCCTGCCAAAAGACGCAACACTTTAGAAAAAGAAAGAAGCTAACCATAACCAACGCACCCTCAAATGTCTTCTCTTTTGAGACTAGCACACAAACCTAGCATACAAAGCAGAACTGGGTAAAAAATGCAAAATGATGATTTTGCCAAGTGAAAACAATGTTCATGCAGCCTTTGCTTCCTACATAGAACAGTCCTAAAGCAGGCTCCTGATTTAAACGTACTTGTAAAACCTTTCTACCTTCCAACAGTTCTGTACTACAACCTATAAAGCAAATTCAAATTTCTCTGTAGCACCCAAAACAAAGTCTGCCTCTTTAAACTATACTATCCTTTCTTGAAGCACAGTAGAAGCCTAAAGTGCCAGGTGTATTTAACCAGCATTGCTACTGAAGGAGCACATAATAGTAACAACCTTTTACTCAATGCAGTGATCAACAAAAATGATCCAAGAAGGACAGAGTATGGAGCTACACAAATTAGACCAATAACAGTGAGCAAATTAGACCAATAATAGTGAGATACACTTCTGACAGTTGCTGCCGCATACAAAAAATTCTGGTGGGGGAAAAACACTGCGATAAGAAAAATGTAATTAACAAAAATCCTCATAAGGACACAATCAGAATTCAAGAATCCTCGCTGATTACAACAGCTATCTGAGAATATTACTGTTACAGGAGTCCAGTATTTATCTGGCGTGCTGCAGATACAGTCCTTCTTTTCTCAGTCTTCCAAAAATGGAAAAGGTAACCCTCAACTTCTAATTGCTTTTACACATAATCATCGTTATTCTATAGCCCTCCAGTTTCCACAGACTGGAAATGGGAGCTGAAAATATGGTTCTAGGTAAGACACGCAGAACTCTCACCTGGCCTCATGGAAGCCACAATTTTGTATGTAATATCTCAAACTGTTATTTATCATTAGCAGTTTAGACTGCTTTGGTTTTGGATTTGTTAAAATTCCTTTCTATGAGGTCACTGGGATTTCACCACAATTCCTCAGTACACCTTGAAAATAGAAAGTATCTGAATGTAACTGTATAATGACTACAAAGTCGTGCAATTTCAGCCAGAGAATGATTAAATATTTAGCTGGTAGTGCCTTGGAGTTTGTAGTAAGCACCCAATAATTACACCGATGAAGCAATACTACCATGGCAAGGACTGTGTCATCACCGAATATAAAATACAGTATCTTAGTGGGTGTAAATAAATAAGCAACGGTAAATCATTACACAAAGTTTTACCAGTCCTTCCTCTCGGCAGGAAAACTGTGCTTTCTGGATTTGTTTAATCTTTAGTACCCAAGAAAACTGGAACAAAGGAGGCAATTCTACAGAATAACTAGCACAATTAAGTCTGTCTCTAATTGAGACAGCCTGCCTAAGCCTGCATTCAGAGTGACAGCTAGTGTTGACATAGGAGCATATGCAGATAGGAAGGCTGTGCTCACTTCCTCTTTCATGAGGGCAAGAACTTCATCTAATCAATCATGAAGCTGCTGCACAGTCGCACTAGGAGTATTGCAATGAAGTGTTCCTCCCAAACTCTCCCAGGAAACGAACTCTCGACTCTAGGTAATACCCTCCTTATACACACTCCTTTTGGGGTCGTATATGCAGTAGCTCGTAAATGATCATTTAAGAGCTTAAATCTCACTGTCTAAGTAGCCCTTTAATATTTAAAAAAAGTTACAAAACAAAGTCAACCTTGAAATTGAAACCTAAGTACTTTAAAAATTTTCTTGAGCTATTTACAAAGGGAGGAGGAAGAAAGCCTGACAATAGGCACCCTGGAGAATAAAGGAGGTATTAGATATTGCAGCTGCATCTCAAGCAGTTCTGAAGTATAATATTTACTTCTTACAGCACAACTGTGGGAAAATTCATGAGGCAAGAATGCAATGTTAAATAAATACTGTGAAATAATGCCCAGAGTTAGCAGTGAAACCAATCTAAATTACAGTTCATTGATAGCTCACAAGGGATTAGAATCTAGATATACTGAATGCGCTTACAAATAAAAGATTTAGGCAAAATAGGATATAAAAACAATTCGTTACATATGAAAAGGTTAGCTGCTGAGTAAACTCTTGAAATTCATACATCTCTTGAGGGTAGTTGGCAGGCTTGTAGGAGAGATTAAAGAGCACAAAAAGAATTCTCTAACTTCAGAGTCTGAGGTCATTTTGCGGGAGAGGCTAGGAGGAAATTACCTACTGGCACACTGTTTCATAAACATTTATTAAAATTATTATTGCAGGGGTTTTTTTTGAAGCGCTTGATACCGTGTTTAAAGGGTGGGATACTATGGACTTCAGTGAAATCATTTCTACCCTGCAGCAACCCCCTGCGTCCATGCTCTTATGCCACAGTAATAGGGTAGCTTCTCTTTTTTACTGAGGGAAATTTCCTTGCGTTAGCTATGGGATAAGAACATATGCCCAACTAACTACAGTGAGGCAGCTAGCATACCACGCTACAATAATCTTTCTGCGTGTCCATGCACATTCATGCTTTTATGCCATAAAACTGTAAAATGAAATAAATTAAAGTAATTCACATTGCAAGGCAAGAGACTAGCTATCACTTTATGGATTTTCAGTTTCCAAGAAAGAGGCCATATTACCGTGCACGTTACAGGAGTCTTCTGGCACAAAATGCTTTCCTTTGCTTTCAGTAGCCCATTCAAATCCAAATATAGGTTTTAATAAAGTTTAAATACGTAAGTAAAAAATGCCCATCACTTACTTGGCTTAGAGTTAACGATGACGCTCTCAGCAGAGTGCTGAGGTGGAAACCTGCAGTTCTCCCCTTGGCCCTCGCTGCTGCCATACTCTATGACTTCCACTTGTCCCAGTGGTACGCTCCATTTTAATAAATACCTCTGGCCAGTTGTCACGATGCCACTGCTTTCGTAGGAAGAGCTGGAAGATGCAAAAATTATTGCTTTGACAAGCAATTATGTTTCATAGAATTCTATTTATTATTTTAACTTCCAAAATCTGCTGTATACCAGTCTGAGCACTGTGCACAGCTTTAAACAAATACATGCGTTGGACTAACTTTTGTGACTGACTTTTGCAACGAGTGTAAAGAGCAGCTATGCAGGTGCAGAAAATCATGTTTACAAATAGCATACAACTGCCAACAGCAGACCCTTTATTTCTACAGCAAAACATAAATTATTGTCTCTTAAGAAGATCAGCATGGATTTGGACATCCTACTGCAAGTGCTTAGGATGATACTGTGGCTCCATCTTTTCCCTAATTCTTTTTGACGGTAACTGCACAGCGCCTGAAACAGCGCTAAAAAGAAGTAACTGTTGTAGTTAGGAAAGTGCGGATGATGAGACTTTTGAACAACTACCAGGAGCAGGAAGGTCAATTTAACTTCCCAAGGACTGAAAATCTAACATTCCCGACAAGCCCCTCGACCCAGGATGTTCGTCACGGCAGACCCTTTGCAATAGTCGCGGCATCTGCGCACAAACTACACATGAAGTGGCTGTTAAAGGAAGTGTATGTTGCAGCAGGCGTTTCAGAGGAAATAGCATGCTGAGGAAGCTCCCAGAGTAGAAATAGTCCTCATACTCCTTTTCCTTTGTTTCTTTCACTCTCTTATTCAAGCACATATAACACTATAAAGGACAAAAGAGATATTTTTGCTTCCTTTAATGTTCACTTCACAGAAAGCATGGCTGAAGTAAAGAACTTGAAAGCAACCCAAAAGAGTGCTTGGGAAAAATCAGCAGAAGGTATTTACTGAGAACAGTCTCTCAAAACTGATGTTCAGGTAGTCAGCCACCTATGTGCAATAGAGTTTTAATCAAGAAACAAGTATGAACAAAAAAACATCAAATACCATAGCTTAAGTAAATATTTATGAACTCTAGATCTAACTCAAAAGAAAGCAAACAAGACAAGACAGAACACAGCTGCTCAGTCACTAGGGAAAGCATTCACCTCATTAACTCCTGCTGCTTAAAAGTTAGGTCTCTGGTTTAAGCTGGTCCTCTAGATTACATGTGAAGGACCTTCTGAGCGTCAGGCGCGCTGCAGAAATACAGGTCTTTTGCCAGCTACAGAAAATTAGTTTTGAACCTATCGTTCACAGACTGTTGGGATCTCTGACTACTTCCGGAAAGGCTGACAGAAGGTGTCCAAAAAACGCGAGCAGAGGTATGCTGCACAGCTGCCTGTGCACATAACATCTCTGAAGAACTCCACAACTCCAGGGGAAAACTGGCAGGCATGCACAAATGGGAGAGTCTGAAAATCACTACTCTAACAGAAGCCCAGCTTAGATGAGAGGCCACTGTTACGTAAACTAAGCAGGTCGGAAAGCAAACTGTAACTGCCAGAGAAAAATATACCTAAGGAGTTCTTCGAAACTTTTTTCAAGTTAACAAACCCCCGCGACATAGCCGTGCCCAATTACTATCCCAGAGGAGGTTGCTCATTACCTGTAATGCCTACAGGAACAAGAATGCTGTTTGCGATAACTGAAACAGTTGACTCATTAGGGAACCCAGCAACTTGGCAAAATTATGAACTTTTCACATAGAAAAGGAAAACAGTTTGCATATTGCTGCTTCAGGGAAAAATCACAAAAAAAACCCACAACAATGATGTAATGGAAAAAGGTAAAATACACGAATAAAAGCAATCTTCCCCCAAACAATCACAAGTAAATATCCAGCTGTTTATAAAGAAATGAACAAAGAGGAAAGGAAAAGAATTGTAACTTCTGGGATAACTGGGCATTTTCTGAAAAGCAAAGTCATTACAAGGCACTTTTCACTCACTAATATGACACTAAGCATTCATACAACTGAAAAACTGTTTACTCTTTTCACACTTCAGTAATGGACAAAAGACATCAACTCTCAGCTTATGCTTAAGAAAAGCTGTTCTTGAGAGATTTTGATGGCCCACATTTTCTCTGTCAGAATGTAATAACACATCAAGCAATTTATGGCACAAGCAACATCTGAACGCAGGTGTGACCTTGGCACGCACAGAGGTACTTGACTAACAGTAATAGCTGTAGCCAACTAAAACACAGCAGGCACTGTGAAAAAAACGCCTTCTTCAAAGCACCTCAGCTTTAATCCTCAGTGTCTGGTCTCAGAGATGAAACTTCTTCAGCTGGACCTTTGTGAGTGAGTTCTGGGTCGAGGAGAGGCTTCACTGCATGCTTTGCCTTTTTTTTTTTTCCATGTGCAAATTGTGTCAAATTATGGGGTGGGGTGGGGGGGTGTCTGTGCGTGTGCGCCTCTGCGTGCGTGTGTGTCTGTGTGTGTGTGTGTGTGTGTGTGTGAGTGACACGGTGAATTTAACCAAGAAGAGAGAGAAAAAAAAATCCTACCTCAGAATTAGGTTCATATTCACTTTTCTCCATTATCTAAATTAAGAGTGTTACCAAACCTATGAAGCCTCCACTCCATTAAACACTAATACACAGCAATACCTAGACACTACAGAACTTTTGTATGTGTGATCTCCAACCGAAAAAAGTTTTCTACAAATTTATTCCAGAATTTTAAAACATGAGCAGGCAACAGAGAAGAATCTAAGAAAGCTATTTGACCACTTATTATGATGGCTGATAGACATCAGTAGCCTTAGCTAAAAAAAAAAGACACAAACAAACAAGAAACCCAACAAACTTTCCAGTGTCATTTTTCCTCAGCCCAAGCTTGAACAATCATTTAAAAAATATGAACTAAGTCTTACCGCATATTTACTGTTGCACACATCAATACATCATTTAACATGAAAAGTCGTCGTTCTTTGGTTTTGACAATTTCTCCTTTGTCATTGTAAACTGTTTCAATCATATCATCAGTCCGTATGAGGTATCTGTTTCCACTGCTAAGTAGCTAGATTTTAAAAATAATGAAAATTATATACTATACAAGGTACATCCAATATCCAGTGCAAAAAATAAAAGAAAATATAATAGGTTATCACTTGCCTTACTACTGCAAATGTTCACAGGTGGATTTACAAAGTGAATTAAGCGTCTTCACTAATTCACTTTACAGAAATACTAACTTCTGCCACAAGGAATGTGGACTGCAGGGCTTTTCAGTCTTAAAATGGAACATGCAATTGCTCTGAAAATCTGCTACACTGGTTTAAAAAATGATAGCCTCCACAATTTCTATTGTTTGTTTCCCTCCTTTTCTTTCACAGTCCACTTACATGTGTTGCATGGTTCCAGCCATCCCAAAAGGGCAAGTCAGGATGGCAGGAGCAAGACTGCTGTTAATTTCTCTGACTGCATTGGCTCAGAAAGGTAACTAAGGAATGCAGTAAACACATTTCTACAGACTGCCAAGATGATGACATGCACAAAAGGTGCAATTGCTCTTGCAGCTTTCCTTCAAGTGGTGAGCCTCAGCACTGCCTGCAAACATGAACAGGTAAACATCTCAGTAGTGGCCAGGAAAACAAAATGGTTCATAATACGTGTGTTTCCTATCCATCCAGCTCTTTCACAGCCTGTTTCACCTTGCCTAGCATCGCTGCAAAGCTCTATATGCAAGTACTAAGCCATAAGGTGCATAGGGTCCCATGTTATTTGGAGTGACTCTCCAGGCATATCTTAGTTTACTCTCCTGGTGCAGCATATTCATACGGATGGATAAAAGGAAACCTGGATCACATCTTAAAGGGCACATGCTGTGCCTTTAACTCCTTCAACCACTTGAAGATGATCATCACTAGCTACTTCAAAAAGCAGGAGTACAAGAACTAGAAAATCACAGAATGGTTGAGGTGGGAAGGGACCTCTGGAGATCATCTAGTCCGATCCCCCTGCTCAAGTAGGGTCATCTACAGCAGTAAAATGCTTGAATCCATCCTCTAATGCACTTACAGTGTTCCAATATAACAATAAATTCTGCATCCCATTTTTCATATATAACTTAAAACAATTATGTTTTGGTTGCTTACTTTCTCTCCTGAAAACTATGGAGGCCTTTATGCATTACTAATAAAAATATTCTTTGCATTCCTTCAGCACTTCCCCATTACTCCAGCCTAGAATGAGTCTACAGTATCACCATTTATAACCTCACAAAAGCAGTAACTGAAGCATTCATGCCCATCACTTGGGACAAACAGAAGCATTTATGATGCAAATAATGCAAATATACATATATCCACAACACAGTTAGCCACTAACAAATTCAAAGAAGAAGATCATTCTTTCTTTCCTACTGAATGTCTTCGAAAATTCTTTAGACACTTCTACTGTATGATCCAAATAAATAAATGAAATGGGCTAGGATGTTCCTTAAAATAAGGAAGCTATTAGACACATCCAGGAGCACCTTTTGAAATGCTTTTTGGTTAGAAACACTGCAGTATAAGAAACTGTTGGTTTTTTTTTTTTTCCTCCTTTATACAGGATTAATTCCTCACCTCCGGGATAGTCAAAGTAATTTTCTCATGCGGAAGACCTGCACAAGGATTTGCTAAAGAAAGAGGAAACAGCATTATCTTTTATGCTGTCATAGAGCACTGATACTGCTGTTGATATTTCAGCTTGTCAAATGCTTCAGCTCACAGTCGTTTGAACCAGTTAGCCTATTTAGTCCTGGAGATAACTTACATCTCACCCCTTCCTATAGAAGGAACCTATATTGCTCAGCACTACAGAAAAGGCTGCAGGTATCTCTTCTGTCTCTGTTCTAAAGCCTCCTCATGACACAGAAACTAATAATACACTAACTCTTCCATCACACATTCCTCCTTTCTAACCTTGTTCAGATAACGTTCATTCATTGCTTTTGCTATTTGCTTTATTTCACAGCGCTGATCCGCATCCCTTTTCCTTTCATTTAATTTCTCTGCCAGTGTTTCAAGTTCTGTAAGAGCCATCTGTAGAGGTAACCTATCAGGATGTCCTTTATTAGTATTCTTCAACATATCCTGAGGAGAAATCGTAAAACAAAATAAAAATCTGATTTAATTTCAAAGTCAAATTCAAAAGATCACAGAAGTTTATAGCATATCCTGCGTAAAGTTACAGTATCATTCTTTACCCAAGTATTACTTAAGACCAATCAAAAAACTCCTAATGAATATTCAAGACAGAGCTCCACTTATTTTCCTGAATATCCAAACAGTTCTTCAAAAAGATATTGAGCAAGGAACATATATAGTACTTAAAGAAAGAAAGTATAGAGAAGGAACTTGAAAATAAATAATAATAAATATCATAAGATGCAAATAATGTTAAATACAATTTGAGACCTAATATTATAGTATAGGTCGGTATCTGTCAAGTCACGTAAAAGGAAACATTTCTGATGCTTAATATTATAATAATACCATATTATGCTCATTATTATTGTTATTACGCACTAAAACACTGATAGCATGCTAATCCCACAGTAGGATAACAGTACTCGCCTCACGGAGGTCACAAAAATTTCTAAAAACGTTTCTCTTTTGTAGGCATACACTGGAACCGCTTGAATGAAATTTTCCTCCTTTCCAACAACACTTAAACATCCTTACATATTCACTACAAACTCCTAACACGTTTTTTTCCTTCTCTTCTACTTCCTCAAAAGTTCTAGCCACGGCTGCCTACCTGTGAGCTCACCCCACAACTACCTTTGCTCTTTCTTCCACAGTAATTCCTGGCACTTCATCCTGACGCCCGTCTTCCTCTGTGACACCTATAAGAAATAGCTAACGCACAGCGCTCTTCTCTGCCACAGACCTGGAGGGGTTCTGTAAAGATTTACAAACGTTGTGTTTGCCTGTAGCAGGTCCTCAAATTTTAAGGCTAAATGCACGACTACACTGTGGAACTGTGCTCATCCCATGGTGGGACTCTGTGTTGAGATGAGACCCTGGGGGCACCCCCAAAGCTGTGCTGCCCACAGAGGGAAGATAAAACACTGCAGGTGAGAAGGAGCTGTGCCACCTTCCAGTGGGTGCTGTGAGCCAAGCAGTCTGGGAGAGAACTCATTTACTCCACCGCCTGCACGTGTGCTGAACTATACAACACTTAATAAAAACACCTAGGAAATTGATATAAATTAGTAGCACATTGGAACTGCAGTTGCACTATGAGGTGATTTACAAACGAAATCTAATGTAGTAAGTAATCTTGTAAGTAAGTAAGTAAATTTGATTTATTAAGATTTTCCTACAGTATATTTACTGACTGTCCCTGCAACCAGACTAGGAGACCAGGACTTGTTCATGCACTGAAATTTTTTGTGTGGTATTTCCTAAGATGCAGAGACAAAACCCACTGCAGCATGCTCCCCCAGCAGAAGACAGCTGCAAAGCAACCCCACATGTGAATGCAACGAGAGCATCTGTCAGGTAAGTCTTGCTGTAAATATTATTTACCTGCAATAGTAGAATGAACTGTGGAAAGCGCTGGATAGGTTTCATCATTAAACCATACAGTGTAATTCGATCAGGACTTGACTCCTGGCACTGCTGCAATGCAAGAAAGTCATACTGTTTACTCACACAGGTGTATTTCCATCAGTTACAGATAAAAAATGAAAATATTTCCTTAAAATTCTCTTATAGCATTTACATTCACTATAACAAGGATACTCTAAAGATCCCCCAATTTCATTTAAAGGTATTACATCTTTTTGAAAAAAATCACCATTAAAATGATGGCATGTCACTAAACCGAAATCCCTTCAAATAAATACAGCTGGGATGAAGTCTCAACAGTAATATAGTATCTATGTATAAATCGATATACTACATTCATGCTTTTCAAGTAAGCAGTGCATTGAAGTATCTGCTTGACTTTCAGCACACAAACACAAGGTACTTGTTCAGGGTCTCAAATCTGAAAAATGTAAACAAATTATTTGTAGACTTCCAGTCCTTATTTTGCTATTGCTACCCTGCTTCCTAGGGCTAAGACACTGTAAATCTTTATCTATCAATGTGTCTTTAAAAGGAAAGCACACTAATGTCAATGCTATGTAAACAACAGGAGAAAATTTTAATTTTCTTTATTAAAATAAACTAAGGAAAAGAACACTGAATTATACGGTTCGTGTTCTTTGCACTCAGAAAGAACAACAGGATCCACTGTTTTGGTTATCAGAACTAGTTCATCAAACCAGACAAATTTCATAACTATTTGTATGTGTGTAAATCTTGTTTGTTTAAAGCTTTCAATTGGAAATATTTTGACCAGACTCACAGCGGACTCAAAATAGGGAGAACTGAGGACATTTCCGATACTAAAAACAAAGCAAAACCAAACAATATTAAACAGGTGTAGTGCTTAAATTGCTATTTATTGCTGCAATTATCAGCTTCATAGCAATTTTCTGTATTCATCTCCACGAATATTTTTGCCCACCCAGTCGTAGTGAAGATTCTGGTCCACAGTCCGTTAGCCTCAGGTGAGCAAAAGCACAGAGGAGAGTACCAACATTATTCCCTCTAGGCAAAGCCCAGTTGTAACTCCCCAGGTCTGAGCACTAGTATCGGCAATGACAAGGAGTGAGGAGAGCTGAAAGCTCTGCCACTGATGGAATAAGGCCTTTTACAAGTGCAGGAAGTATGAAGTGACTATAACCTCACTAGAGAGTTGGGTCTCGGTGGGCCCGAAAGCTCACAGAACATAATCCTGTATACTGCTGTTACTGTTCTCCAAAAGGTTCTTAGCTAATTTTAAGATCCGAAGATAGACTTGGGAGCCAGCCCCCCTCCACCATCCTCCAAGGCAACCCAAGAGCTTCACTGCAGGGATTGCCTAGGGCAACAAATTTCAGTGTTTTAATAGACCACTGTCACAGACTTGACAGGCTGGCAGCTCTCAGGGGCACAGCCCAGCCCACAACCCCGAGGAAAATGGGACAAACAGAGCTTCCAGGCTCCCAGTCAAAAAGTTGTGGGATACATGTTGTGCACTCTCTGTAGGGTATCCCCCTAGGGCTTTCCAGGCACTTTAGTTGCATATGCCAAGGTTTCAGTACACACAGCTCCTACTGGAAGCATCATATTCATCACAGCAGGAAGCATTTTGTACAGCAATTTTCAATTTCATCCCCCAAGTTGGAAAAAAGATTTTCAGAACATGAGAAAACTGCTGTGAAACAGAAACACAATGTCTTAACCACTTTGTACAATACAATGTTAGAAGTAAAATACGTCCCAAGAAGGAAGATGCTTCAGATAGTGAATTGTTATTGTAAGCTCAACGGATACAAAAACCCCAATGTTTTGCAAAGTACAGTCATGTAAACACCAATAAAATTGATCTGAACAACAATGCACTTCAGAATACATCCTAGATCTAAAACTATGTTATTACGCTGAAATTATAGCAGGGGAAGTGAATTCTCTCTGGAATTTTTGTGCCGAATCCATAAACCTAAAGGCCACAAAAACAGTCACACAATACACAACATCATTAACCAAATTTCCTCCTAACTTATATTTTATGCAGCCTTAATTATTTCATCTGCCCAGTTGTTTTAAGTTTAAGCGTACTCACTTTTAAAAAATCTAGAAAGGCAGGCTTGGTGGCACATGTTTTCTTGAGAATCCCCACTGCCGTACTGAAGTTGTTTACATATTCACTGTATGCATCCAATACCATAGATTTAGAAAACTGAAACAGTAAAAAGGAAAACCATAACTATAAATGCAGAAGACACCCAAAAGCATATTTGTTTAGACCTATGACAGCTAAGGACTCATCTTGTTAGGAACTAAGGTCTTCTATTCGGCCTGTTGGTGACTCTATAGAAACACTGGTGATGCAAAAAATGACCTTTGTGTAGAACAAAGGTTGGAAACCTGAAGACATAAAGGCCGTGAATTACAAAGTGTAAATTTGTTAGGCTAAAGCCCAGGCACTCTGGAAAGTCAAGTAGCCTCCACTAAGATCCCAGGCTAGGATCCCATTTTGGTGGATTTGTTAGTGTCTAGCTCCTCTGAAAAAGAAACCGCTTGCTTAAATGTCTGAAAGTTTGATCAAAGCTTGAAAATTCTGGCCACAATTCTTCCGTGTCTGCTAACTAAGCTGAGACGTGTTGGTGTCAGTTGCCTTACCAGAACGGATATACTGACTCTGGCAGCTGCTCTAGGCCTCGCAGAATATGGGAGTAAAGTGGCCAAGTTAGATAGAAAGATAGGGACATTGAGTAACATTCCTAAAATAACAATAGATTATCTGTTCAGATGCATTTGCTTACTGAAGCAACAAAGACGTCGCCAATCATTTCAACAGAATCCCACTCAGATACACGACTGGCCAGGGCTATTTGAAACATCGAATGGCACTGAAGAATTTCCTTAATTCGATAGAAGACCATTTTGAGTTTTCTTTCACTCAGTAATTTTGGTTCTACTTCTGAAAGAGGCTTCTCATATTGCTGTGGAAAAAACATATAAATAGATTTAAATGAGCTAAAAAAAATGACTCTTAACATAAAATCCTACCACTCATATAAAAGTATACACACGCAAAACTTCTCCAAATATTTGGCATGAAGCACCTGTAACAAAATACACGTAAATCACACTACATATTTTTTAAGGCCTTAATTATTTCTCAGATTTCCAAGTTTTAAAAAGCAAAAGATATTAGGTACCTCCAGGATTCTTTTGAGGGCGTCCACATAATTCTTCTCACTGTCAACCACAGAGCCCAAAATATATCTTCTCACAACCTGTTGAAGGAACAAAGCTCTCTCTGAAACTCTAATTTAGGTACTATGTTCATCATAGTTGGGAATGCTAATGATAAAAGTCTCACATTAATAAAATGAAAGAAACAAAGCAATTTCAAAACTGTACCTGCAGCAAAATAAATACTGGACCTCTTCAAAAGTAATCAAATTTACTATTACTCTGAAATTACTCATTTCAAGAATATGTCAGTTATTGTAAGCCTATACGATCTTTGGTGATTGTTGCAATTCCAGGCATTACTTTTGAAATATGCCTTTTAATTTTAGATGCATAAATTTATCCTTTAATACAAATAACAACAGGTACAGATGATGCCAGCTGCTTCAGTGAATTGCTGCAATAAAATAGGTGATCAGTTTTCAAAAATCAGTTTTACAGCATAATTTCATTGTTTTATATCTTCTAAACTTATTGGGACTAATTGGAAGGACAAATAAACAGAAATTGCCTTTTTAAGCAATAAAATTATATCATCAAAAAAGTCAGGATTCTTTTTGGGCAATATTACCTTGCACAACTGAAAACCCCATCTCACCATTGTTCATACCAAAGGACAGAACTGTAAGAGCTCCAGGAAATACTACCAGATTTCATATTTACAAACTACGGGCTACTTATAACCTCCCCTTCTCACTTCCAAAGTTTCAACGGAAACACACATTGTATGCAAATACAGGGAACATGAGATGAACTTAGCTCAAACTAAAAACTTCTTATTGTTACTGATTATATTTCTTTCTACTTTTATGGATTTCTTTTCACCCAAATCAACTTCCCAATCTAATTCATCACAGGGCTTTCAAAAGCTGGATTCTGCCTGGGGAGAAGACGATACAAAGCCAAGAACAAACTGCTCTGCACGAGTACAAGGAATGGCACAACTGCTTCTTTCACTATTTTAAGCCAGCCTAAATGACCATGAAATTCAAATTACAGAGTTACTTCTCTTGAAATCTCCCTGCTTCTCTCTCTGCACTTTTATTACCAAGTTATGTAAGGATTTTCTTTGAAGTACTAGCATTCTAAAGGAAAATGTACAGTTTTTTAAGGCCTCAGTTACAGACATGAATATATGGTAAGGAATTCATTGTGTCTAATACGCACTTACACTTAGCAGTTTCTTATCTGGTATCACAGAAAAAGTCTGAGCCCAAAAGTTTGGTTTTTTTCTAACTGTATCAGCTGTTCTAATAAAGGTACTACCTCTACATTTAGTCACAGTTCATTCTTGTGAAAAGAATAAACATCTTTAGAAATAAAAATTTTCCAGACTCTAGAATACACAAAATAAATAGTTAATAGAGCCTACAGGTTACTGCCATAGCCAAGCGCTACTTAAAAGAGGCTTGTGTACAGGTCTTATAACCACATTTTTGCTAGTAAAAGTAGAAAAAACATAAACAATACACAAAATGAATATATAAACATACACAGCCTATAACAAGAATTCTGATTACAGAATTAAAATGATGCAAAAACTAAGATGACTGAGACCCAGTGTGGGATATAGCATTTAAACAGAAACCGTATTTTAAACAAAAGCTATTGTGCCACCTACTGTTTAAAACAAGTACAGTCATAAAGTCGGCTTATACATCAGAACATAATTTAGGTTGGAAGGGACTTCTGGAGTTCATCTGGTCCAGCTAGGACCCCCCCCAAAGCTGCTTTCTAGGCTGTCAGACCCCAGGCTGTGCTGTGGCACAGGGTTATTCTGCCCTAGATGCAAAGACTTTGTGTTTTGCCTCTGTTGAACTGCCTGAGTTTTCTGTCAACCCACTTCTTCTGCTCGGCAAGGTCAACTTGAACAGCAGCCTCGTCCTCCGGCATATTACCTGCTGCTCCCGCTAACGTGATATTGCCTGCAAATGTACCACGGGTGCATTGCAGCTGGTAAATAGCACTGGCCCCGCACCATTTCCTGAGGGAAATCACTAATACTGGTCACCAGATAGACCTGTACCATTGATCATAACCCTTTCACCGTACGGTGGTTCAGCCTGTTTTCCACCACTTTATAGTCCACCTATCCACATATCTCACCTATACGGCTACAAGGATACTCCACAAGATGGTTTGGAAAGCCTTGCTACAGCTGAGATAAATAATGTCCTCTGCTCTCCCCTGCCCACAAGTCAGTCATTTCAAAGGGACTCAGGTCAGTCAGGCTCAAATTGCATTTGGTAAATTTATGCTGGCTGCTCCCAATCACTCCCTTGCACTTCACGAATCCAGAAATAGCTGCCAGGAGAATTTGTTCCATCACCGTCCCAGGGACTGAGGTGAGGTTGACCAGAGCATAGTTTCCCAGATCCTCCTTCTAGCCCTTCTTGCGAATGTGTGTGACACTGACCTCTTTCCAGTCATCCTCTGATCATAGTGATCATCTTTCAAAGAGAGAGAATGGCTTTGCCCTCAGCACTCTTAAATGCATCCCATCTGTCCTATGGACCTGTATATGTCCAGCTGGCCTCAGTACCTCCTAATTATACCTTCTCTCATTGACAGTAATGCTTCACAAAGATCTGGACCTAGGCTCAGGGGCTTTGGAGCCCTGAGGACAAACCTTACCAGTAAAAGCTGAGGCAAAGGTGGCACTGAGCCACCTCAGCCTTCTCAGTGACTTTTGCGACTAAGTCCCCTGCACTAGTGAGCAGCAGGCCCATATTTTTCTTAGACTTCCTTTTGCTGCCAATGTACATACAGAAAGAAACCCTTCTTGCTGCCCATCACATCTCTCACTAGTTCCAGCTCCTACGTGGGCAATATCTCTACGTTCCTCTTGGGTCAGGTCCTTGCTTCCACCTTTGGTGTACTTCCTTTTTGCATCTAAGCTCAGCCAGGGGTACCCTCTTCAGACACACTGGCTTTTTGCCATGCTTGCTTGATGTTCTGCGTGTCAGAACGGACCGTGCTTGTGCTTTGAGGTTGTCCTAGAAGACCAGCTAGCTTTCCTGAGGTGTTTCACAATCCAGGGCAGTCTTTCATGGCATCCTGCCAAGCTCCACAAGCCAAAATCTGCTCTCCTGAAGTCCAAAGTTGTAATTGTGCTATTCATCTCTCTTACTTCTTGTGGATCTTACACTACATCACCATAGGATTGCTGCTGTCAAGGCTCTCAACCGCCTTTGCATCCTTGACCAGTACTTATTTGAGAGTAACAGATCCAACAGAGCACCGATTCACTATTATAGAAAATGCTAATAAAAACTCTTATTCCACAATACTGGTAGAAATTTTCAGTTGTTTTATTTTCAAAACAGACTCTTTTTTTTCTCTCTTTATGAGGGTTCATTTCTATCTGGGTCAAATCCACTGAGTATTTAAAGTCTGCAGATATTACACTCATATTGTCCATCCAGAATCATCATTTCTTCTCAAAACTGAAAAAACTCATACATCTCCAGGCAAACAGTATTCTAATCTGCTTGTCAAGTAGGAAAATTTAGATATGAAATTACACTATTTGCATACTTCACACCACAACACTCAGAGAAGTGGGACATTTTAATTCTTCTACACCGCACAGAAGAGGCCTCTTGTATCTTGATTATCCTTTTTGGAAATCTTCCCATCTCTTTGGACACTATGGAACGAGCTGTTCCCATCTGTCTGATTCCAGATTATTCAGGTCTCTCAGTTAAAGTCAGTTCAATTTGTGCTGAGCACGAATTTTCTCTGCCAACTCAGTTTCAGTTTTGTAATTTCAGCTACAACAGACAGACTTTTCCAGCAATCTGTAGCGCACTGCCAAGTAATAAATACACTAAGGGGAGAAAGAATCTTCCCAAATCTGAACCTATGGGACACTTTCTGGTATCTTACTGCCGTACAGAAGGGACTTTTCTAGACCTGAAAACCTAGAAAAGCAAAGCATAAATGTTACAAGAGCTACCAAATACATCACTGAGTACTGAGTACATCACTAGATATGCAACATGTGCCATGACCTCCACAATTACTAGTTTACATCAAAGTAAGAGCTTTCTCTAACCTTCTTTCCTAAAGAGGGTACATTTATTTTTAACTACTTACAAAAATCAGTAAAACTCTCAAACACATAATTGGAAAGAAGGAAAATACAGCATTCAGATTGATGCTAGGATCTTATACTATAATGAAATCTTATAATAATGGAATGCCATTTGGTAGTTGTTTTGATACAAGAGGCAGCACTTAATTGTACTAGACACATTACATATCAGAAAAATAAACTTCATCAAGAAAAAAAAAAATGTATCACTCACCCCAAGTGTTCTTTAATTATCTTTTTTTTCAAGAAATATCATTGACCTATTCACCATTTTCTAAAGGTACTGTCCAGTTCAGGACTTCACACCACAAGAAGCTAACAACTCTCGTACAGTTAATATTACCTTGCATAATAATGTGATAACATGAAACCACAGGATTTATTTTCAATCAAAACTTCTAACTGATGCTGATTTCAGTGTTTTCTGAAACGGCCTGCGTAGTGACGACAGAGCTTGAAGTGGAGAACAGCAAGACCTACTCTTTTGTAGAATTGAATGTATTGTGGGCAATTTTTTTAAAATCAAAAGAAATCTTAAGATTCAGAACAAATGCAGCATATTCTCTACGTTTGAAACAGAAATCCAGGAGCACCATGAATGTCTTCTGATTCAAGAAAAAACTCTGAACACTTCTCTTTTGCTCAAAACCATCTCACATTTAAGTATTCAGGAAGTAATATAATTATTATAGATAATAATATTATAACGTAAAACAACATTTTGCATTTCTTGCTGAATTCAGGATGGGTGCAACTGTATGCACAAATACCAATTTTCAAAAAATGCTTATACCCATTCAGGTCTGAATTTGATCTCCGTTTAATTTAGGCTAACAGCCAATATGTTGGAAGGGAAAGGCACCTGGAAGCCATTGCTACAGGAGGGAGAAAAAAGAGGCAAAAGACCAGATTCCCAAAAGCCTACTACCTGCTGCTGTGATAGTCCTTCAGGCATAGGGGTCATAATTGCTTCTGCATGCATACAGTCCACGTCAATAAATAAATTCAGCTCTTCCTCTTCCAGACATGGTGATCTATGGTCTACAATTGAATAGCAAATATGTCACCTTTTGCAACATACCGGTTTAAAGAAACCCAACAACAAAGATCCTATCTCCCAAGGCCAGTAATTACACAGTAATCTTATTTGCATTCATCAAACAAATGAAATTTCCCAGCATTTCTATAGCACCTGTGAAATCACATTCATTCACTCCAGTGTAGAACATCTGAATGCTTTGACCACCAAACAGTTGTCTCAAAAGATATCTCAAAGCCCTGATATCCACACAGCAGGTGACAGCCTGCACATCTTTTGCTTGACCTCTCCTTCATCTTCACAGCCCAAAGCACAGGGTTGCCAGAACGTGCTCTGACATGACAACTAGGGTTAAAGCACTGTGGCTCCAGGGGCTGCAGTTTTGAAATGACCTTCAGAAAGAATTAAATACCTCCATACAATCAAGTTTAAGAAAACCCATGCAGCCCTCCATAAACAGAATTTAAATAAGTAAACAAATATATGAAAAAGTTGGCTTTTGTAAGGAATGAGAACAACAGATTCTATGCGGTCCACTATATACGTCTCAATGTTACTAATTTTGTGCAAAAAGCACCACCAAACTGCCGTGCAAGGTGGCAGTACACAGCCACTCAAGCAACCAGACGTGCACAAAGGGTGAGTTGAGAAAGGACAGCATGAGAAACTGGCTTGGAACAAAAAGGAAATTAAGGGAAGCAGTTCTGTTAGCTGTGGAATTGATGACTTTAATTGACCAACTCATTAGCAGCTCCCTGCTGATTTGTTAAGTAGCTAAGAGATTAAACCATCTATAGATAACCTAACCTCTAGAAATGTAAGAATGAGTGCTGGGTTCATTGTAAGCTAGCCCTGCTCCTGAGCAATAGCAAGAGGGTGAGGATATATTTGTGGCATGAAAGCTTGTGCAAATAACTTTCTATTTTCTGGTTGTGAATTATCTTAAGCTCAGAACCGCTTAGAGGCCATGATAGGCATTTAAGATGTGTACTGGTCCTCACAGATAGGATGCAGCTTTATGCTAATTCATTTTCTCTAGTTCACTCATTAAAAACTTCTTGTTCTAGTCTTGTGGTTTTAAAGTCTTATGACTGCAATGTTATAAGCTCTGAAGTTACAGCCAATCAATTAGCTGGTACTTCAGCAGAAAGATAGACTACCTCCCACACTTATCCTGAAGAAGGAAGAAGTTCATATTCAGTTACTGCTCCCCACCCTCCACCAAAATTAACTGTGGCCTGCTGCTATTGCTGAGGCTCATGACAGAGCCTCAGCAGAACAGAGTCTTCTGTTCTTAACTAGAAAAAAGAACATAAATAGCTTTTCGTTTTTAGACCCCTTCATGCCGTGCCGTATACTGTTCCCAATTCAAAAAACAGCTTTTACCAAAATCACCAAACTGTAACAAGGCAAAACAGACTCTCTCTCCTACTTCCCCTCTTACATGCAGAAAGTATTTGTTATCCTTTACTCACTATAAGCTTTCTAGTCAGCTATCACTTCACTGAAAATCATGTCATAACAGCAGATTGTATTGCTAACAGTCATTTAGGAGTTCCCTGATGGAGGGAAACAGAATGATTTAGTACTTTAACATAATTCCTATAATCCCATTTGCCAATATCTAGATAGCATATAGGACACTGTTTTTTTTTTAAAGCAGACCCTTCTGTGTGGTGCTCAGGTCACTGAGGTTTGCATCCCAAATCTAAAACTACTCAAGTGGCCTTGACCATATGGTTATCTGAACTTGAATGTTATAAGATGCTTTATCAATATAAGGCTGATTTCATAAAACCAGTACTCAGTTTACAGTACCAAAAACTGCTAGCTCATTCACCTCCTGTCTACAGGTGAACTGAAAAGAGTAATGTAAACATGGTATAACTGAGACATACCTTGAGAAATAAAAGATTTAGTTCTAATGAAAGAACGACCTTTTTTCACAGCTGCTTTTGTTTTTTCAAGTCCATCTTTGGTACCTTCTCTAGCAGCTCTCATGAGCTTTTGCATCTGTAAGATAGAAAATACAATCTACATGTTCTGTGAATAACAGGACACATTCAAACACACCATGCAGAATAATTTTGATCACAGTATTTTTAAAAGAACATTGTCAAGTAGTTTGGGCTCTAAATACTGCCCATAATCAAAGGAATATATAGTACGTACACAGATCCATTAAATCTCACATCGGAGCACCTGTACTTTTTCTTTATAAAATCAAACTTAGAGAAGGGGACTTGTGGCAACCTACTATGCAACCTCCAAAACAGCAGAAGTACTTTAAGAAACTTTTTGTTCCAAGCATCTGAACACGAAATAATCTCAGGAGCTCAGCTTTACGTTACAGGACAAATAACTACTAAGAACAGGTCAGTAATTACCAGTGTTCTAGTTTATCTTACAGTGTATCTGTAACTCTGTCAAAGTTTTTCTGCTCTAAGGCAATCCCCTAGACTCAGTTCTATATTAACTATATTCTTAAATAAACACTGTATTTTGCAGAAAATGTTATAGGTATTAATTTCATTAATTAAAGAAATCAAGAAATTGATTTAATTAAGAACTAACTATAACTTTATTATAAAGTACTACATGAAAAAGAAATTTTATGTAAAGAAAAAAAAGAAGTGCTGCTTTGCTAGGAAAGGTTCATTAAAAACTGCTTTGTACTCTCCTTTTCCTGAACGCAGCCACAGCAGAAACATAGCACTACTGCCAGAACCCTGCTGACATCATCAACTACCTCAGAACAAAAACAAAGCTGTCTTGCTGTAATCAGGTAATTTCTCTATTTGAGCTGAAGTTTTTAGCAAAAACATAGCCTTTTCATATTGGCTCCATTCAGAATGGAGAGGATTCCCAGTGCTACAATTTGATCCGATACAGACAGACGAGGAGGGTCCTGGCAGCCCGACGGAGCTCCGTGGGGTTTCACAGAGGCGCCGGGGCTGCATTCCTGGCTCAGGCGCTGGGACAAGGCCATCAGGCAGTGAGGAAGGACAATGTCCTATCTGATCTTCTGAAACTGTTACAATGAAGCACGGGAAAAAGGCCTTGACAAAGTACTTTTAAAACAAACTGTGTAATAACCGAGCACATTCAGAACTCATTTTATATAAATTATTGCCCACTTTTTTGACTCCAATTGCTATTATTTAAAAGAAAAAGACAACATTGCCTGTGTTGGAAAAACAATCATTTAATACATAGCTAGTCACAAAAATTAACTACACTACCTTCAGCTCATGTTTTTGCTTTAGTTGCTGAATCTCTACTGCTCCCACTGTGCTTGCCATCAAATCTTTCATCTTTTTTTCATAATGCTCCTTTAAACGCGTTAGGTCATGAGAAAGCTACAGTGCATAAAAAAACACAATCTTTTCAAAAAGCCTGTAGTGTAAACGTAACACTAAAGTACTTGAGCATATCACGCACGTTGCCCTGCCTGCCTATTGACACGCAGACAACTGAGAGAGCGTAATCATTTAGGGCAGCCCCAGTGTGATGAAAGGACTTCCAGTTATTTCCGCATATCACTGTACTTACTGAAACTCAGCCAGGCATCTTTGCGGTACTCTGGCAACTATGTAAAGAGAGAGATAAAGTCACTTAGTCTAAGCTAACTGTATGTTAATTACTCTGTGCACCTCTCTTAGAGGCCATCTGGAGATAGTTTTATTAACTTTAACCGAGAGCACCATTCTATGAAGCATGAACCCTAGCACATATTTTTCTGACTGTCCTTCAAAATGGTGAATCAGAAGAATTCTCAAAGGCCAAATACCAGCTGAAGTATCTGCAGAGGTTGCTAGCACCTGCGAAAACAGATATCTATAGTGCTAGTGAGCTGGGTAAGGAGAATCATTAGGGAAGGATACGCAATCTTTTAAATAGAATACAGGCACAGGAATCAAGAAGCATGTGTCCTTTTCTCAGCTCTGTCATAGCCTCACCACCATATGCCCTTGGGCATAACCACCCACCTCATACATGAATACATCCATTTGCAAAGTGAGGGGACTCTTCAGGAGAAATGCCTTGGAATACTAATTAATGTTTGTTAAACAATTTGAGAGAAGGCCAAATAAAAGTGACAGAAATGTTATCGAAAAAAAAATATTTGTGGCCTATAATAGAAAAGAAATTCAATGGAAAAATCCTCAGCTTGATGTCAACAGAATTCCTTGGCAAGAGATCAAAGTAAAAGGAAAGGGAATGACTACTGAGATGAACACAAAGGGGCAAGTCTGGCTTTAGCCCCACTAGCATAGGTCAAGATGTGATTACCTCCACCACTGTGATTCTGGCATTATACCAGTATAATCAAGAACAGCATCTGGTTCGCAACCTAGAAAAATTTAGCTGTATAAACACTTTCTAGTCATTAAAAAAAAAAATTAAAAAGACAAAATTGAAACGTGACTTTGAGGAAAATCATATCACCACTTACAACTAAAATCATGCCGCCAACCTTCCTGTACTTTTCAATGGACACAAACAATAGTTACCAAGCCAGTTCCCCCATAAGCTCTGAAAGACTATACAAGGACACATGCTAGGAATATAGCTTAAGATCTACTGCAAGATATGAGGAGAAGTGAGGGTCAGTGGAAGGAGTGGATACAAGGAATGGATATAAAGAGACGGGAGTGCTCTTTGCCTCTATGGAAACTCTATGCAGGTTTTGTACCCTAACAATCCTACGGTTTCTGTCTTTCCTCATCATTCTGCAAACCCCCTCCCTAGTCATTTTCCACCTTCTAGTAATTCACCCAGGTGAGGTAGTCTCTTGACTTCTCCATCCCCCAACTAATGTGTTTCTAGGCACCTTACCATCGTCCTTAAATGCATTTCCTTCTGTCACAAGTCTGGAAAATGCAGCTGCATGCCAGCCACCCCAGTGCATGCCCCTTCGCTCCCACCGCT